GTGAGTACTGAGAACTCTCCTAACTCTGCACAACGAATTCAGGAAAATTTTGGAAGAAGGAATATTTGTGCTATGTCTTAAGCAATCAGCAAGTATTTACTGGTTGAGAAAACGAGAGGTATTATTTGCTAAAAAACGTGAAATATAAAACATCAAAAACTATGCATGGAGCATAAAAAATAATAATGTGAGTATGTTGAGCAGAGTAAAGAAATGATGGGTTTGGAAAGGTGACAAAGCATAAAAGGCCTGGCCAGAGGTAGAGTGCTACAGATAGAGACAGAGACAGAGAGAGAGATACACATGCACATACAAAAGATACAGATACAGATGATACAGATTATACAGATACAGATGATACAGATACAAACACAAATGATACAGATGATAGAAATACAGATACAGGTGATACAAATACAGATGATACAGATGATACAGATACAGATGATACACATACAAATACAAATGATACAGATGATACAGATATAAATACAGATGATACAGATGATAGAAATACAGATACAGATGATACAGATACAGATGATACAGATACAAATGCAGATAATACAGATGATACAGATGATAGAATACAGATACAGATGATACAGATATAGATGATACAGATACATATATAGATGATACAGATATAGATGATACAGATACAGATATAGATGATACAGATAGGTACAAATACAAATGATACTCTTATATGACATTAGGATCATATACTTTGCAGTGATACATAGCTTATGTGCCACCTGAGATAATGACATCACTCATAGTTATGAGAAACACAAATGTGTAATGTTTTATACTCCTTCTGAATTGTGCCTGACCTTAAGAAACTGAGCCTATTACCACAGCTCTTTACTGTACTGAAAAGGAATCTAGTGAAGGATGGCTACAGTGGCCCAGAGCTACATTTTTCAAGTGATGCTGTGACAGTAGATGGTGGACTCTGGAGCTGGAGGGATAGACCTGGGCAAACTACGGATCAAAGGGGTCAGCTAGGAAGGATTAAGGAAAACTCAGAACTAAGATGATGACTACAAAGATAAATACAACAGAATCAATGAAGCGATACTTAAAAGGCAAGAAAGACTGAAGTCAGTTTAAAAAATAGATAAGAAAGTCATAAAATTGTAGTGGATATTTGGAAACTGTAAGTGATATCTAAAAATCACTAGTAGAGGAGAATTAAGTGTGGAGTGACGGAATTGAACTCAGTGGTAAATGTGGTAAGAATAATTGGTGCACATTTACAAGCAACTCAGAAAGAGACAGTGATTCATGCTGGCTACGCAACAGAGCTATCTGGACTAGAGACAAATATTTGTAGGAATCTTCATAAATAATAAATGAGAAGTTAAGATGTCAAAGGTCAGGAGATTGAGTAACTTTAGCATTTTGAGTAAGTGAAGGAAGAGTACAATGAGAACTATAAGAATCAGAATATATTGACATATTTTGTGGCAAATATATATGTATATGTATATACATATTTAAGATATGTATATACATATTCACACCTAGCACAATGCAATGGTCACGTGTTAGGGAACAGGTAATTAACAAACTATGAAAATAATAAGAAAACGAATACTTTAACAGTTCAAATCCTTTATGACAGGCTAACTAATATCCAACGATATAAAACGCCTATGTTATAGTTTTAGAAAGGGATTATATCATCATTGGATAATTAAGTAGCAATAAGATTCTCTATTTTCATGTCATCTGAATACTGTAGAAACACTGTCATCTAAATCTTACCTGTAAATTCATTGATTAAGGAAGACAGAATATGTTAAAAGTAAAATTATACATAAACAGTTTGTTTGTGAATGAGTATCAACTAACCGAATTTCAGGTGTAAACAAGAAAGCAGTTACCAGTAAATTAAAGGAAAAAAATGATCAAATAATCGTGTCCAAAAGAAGAGGAGGAGAACCATCCAGTATGTTCTCTAGCTGTTAAAGCATTTGGAAAAGGAAATCCCAATGTCCGGGGTAGTAGACACTACTCATTACTAGTTAGAACTTTGCTTTACAGAAATATCAACATTTTCCAAGGAGGAACTTAAAAGACAAAGCATGATCAGGGGTCTATGTAACTAATGTGACTAAATCAGATATTTTAAAGGTGTGCTACACATAAGCCCCTACATTTGTATTGGAAGAGTATTTCTCTGACTGGATAGGCATAAAAAAATAATTTGTGAAGTATTTACCAGAGTAGAGAACTATTAAAGAAACTGAGAGGATAAATGGGCAGAATATTCTCACTCCCTGGCTGAAGTGATACGGGCTCATCTTGATCTTGTTCGTCTTTTGTTTGCTTGTTTTTAAACATATAATTTTTCTTTGGGCTCTGAGACAGGGTTTCTCTGTATAGCCATGGAACTTGCTCTGTAGACCAAGTTGGCTTTGAACTCAGAGATCTGCGGGCCTCTGCCTCCTTCTTAGGCTAAGAGCGCCACCACAGGCTTTGTTTGGTTTTGTTGTTTTGTTCTCACTCTTTCAGGACCCTCCCTTGACCTCTTCTGCACCACCTCATCCATTGACTGCTGTTTCTCCTTATTTCCTTCACCGCCCCAGGCACATCACTGCAGACTTTAACACAAACTGATTTTTCTCATTCTCATGATCATCTACACACAGTTCTCAGTGATTTAACTGTTAAATGCCCTCAAGTTCTTATCAAGAGTTGTAAAATGTACCTAAAATCATTGATCAACTCTAACGCATATTCTAGAAAGTCTTTTCCCTTTTCATTACCCCTTCCTCCTCTCACGTTTTAGCTGGATTTTTAACCTGCGATTTTTCCACAGTACATCATAATATTAATAATTTATTTGCCTGTGTCCTGAATTCATATCATGCTGATTTAGCCAAAGTTCACTCTAGTTAAATTATCTTTTAGTCTTTTTTTCTTTTCATGTGAGTAGCTAAATGTAGCTATGGGAAATATACATGAACATGCACTGATCATTCTTTGATATATGAACCTGAAAAGGCCCATGTGTGTCATGGAACCTGCCCTATTGCTCTGAAAACTTGTTCACTCTCCCCCCCTTTCTCCTTGATGCCTTAGAGTCAGGTTTTATTTTTAATCTCTCTGCTGGAACTGCTCCTGTCTTGGCCATCAATGGCGCCTGTGTTGGTTTGGTTTTAGTCCTTTTCCAGCTCTTATTAGCTTGACCTTTTAAGGGTGCTGTAGGTTCCTGTTGGACACCTCCTGTGATGCAGGCTCAAACAGAATTCCCTGTTGGATTATTTCCTTTCTGTAGTTTTTTGTTTGGTTGGTATTGCTTCTTCTTCTTGGCTTCTACTTGGTTCCACATAAATATCATGAAAGTCAAAAGAAATTAAGAAAAACTCTAATGAGCTGTGAAGCCGTACATAATCTAGATCAAGCTGCTGTCTCAAATGCTTCTCTCACCAGGACGCATCTACTTCTATTGCCTATGCGTCTCCTGTTGTTTTTCCAACTAATCAAGCTGATGCCCACTTCAGGCCCTCTCACTTTCTCCCCCTCTGCCAGAACGCACTACAATTCAAGATACAGTTGCCCAAATTCCAGGGTATTTTTGGAGGTTCAATGTCTCATAATGCTTTGTTTGGGCATTTTCTTTGTTTCTTTGTTTCTTTCTTTTTTTCTCTCTTTCTTCCTTCCTTTCTATCTGTATATATATATATATATATATATATATATATATATGCATATATATGAATAAATGTGTATATATATATGTATAAATTGGTTTTCAGCGTTACGGTTTTTACTGAATTTCTTGTGTGCAAATGTATGTGTCTCTGCATCTATATGTCTCTTTTTTTCTTTCTTCCTTCCTCCCTCCCTCCCTTCCTTCTTTTCTTCCTTCCTTCATTTCTTTCTGCTTATAGGTCTTTTGCATATATATTGTGATTTTCAGTGCTATGGTTTTTGTCGGGTTTCTGAAAGTGCAAATGTGTGTGTTTCTGGATCTTTATGTATTTCTTGTGCTTTTTCCTTGGTTCTTTTGCTCCTGGTAATTTGTTTGTTTCATCCTACTCTAGTTTGTTTGTTTTCATTTTATATTGCTTTATTATTATTTTTAGATACCTGTGTGTACTGTAATGCTAGGGAAAGAGAGAAAGGGTGTGACTTTGGGTAGGTAAGGAGTCAGAAAGAATTTGGGAGGAGGTTGTGGAGGGGAAAACATAATCAGAATATATTGCCAGCATTACAAACACACACACACAAAACCCAACAATTTGACTTATATCCCTAAGAAGAGCAACATAAAATAATAGCATAAAGTTTTATCTTGCTTTTGAGCTGAGAAACATCAAGTTACAGATGTTTTATGTGCTACTATATATAAATCTGGAAATCAAGAGAGAAATTCTAGAGTCACAAATATAATTCTTATCAGAATAAAGATGGAAAATGAAATTATGAGAGTATATTTTACTACCTGAGGACAAAAATTAGAACATTCTGAAAAATGCCTAAGAATACCCATATTTAAGGAATGGACATGATGAAAAGCCAGTAGAAAAGATTAGAAAGAACTATAAGTACACTGCAGTAGCATCGCATGCCTTTAACCTCAGCACTCTGGAGACAAAGGCAGGCAGGTCTGTGAGTTCAAGGCCAGCCTGGTCTACAGAGCAAGTTTCAGGACAGCCAGGGCTACAGAGAGATACCCTGTCTCGCTATGTCTTTCTTGAAAAATAAACAGACAAACAAAAAATGAAAGAAAGAAACAAACAAAGGAACAAATATATAAAAGGAAGGCTGATGCCAGGTTATTTTATTTTTAAAAAAATCCAATAATGTGATGTGAATGGCTAACGTGTACAACTGAGGAAAGAGGTTGAGGATTTAAGCGAAGAGATAATTGCAGAGTTCCTGACAGAGATCTGCTGGCGAAGCTGAGGAACTAATTAATAATCAGAAATATCCATCTCTTTCAGCTCCATCCTGGAGGACTGCCAGCCCAGCTCCTCCTTACTTCTCGATTCATGGTCCTGTCCAACATTACACAATTCAGCCCCATATTCTACCTCAGTGGTCTTCCTGGTTTGGAAGCCTTTGAACGCTGGATTTTCATCCCCTTTTTCTTGATGTACCTGGTGGCTATCTCAGGCAACTGTCTCATTCTGATGATCGTTAAGACCAGCCCTCGTCTGCACACACCCATGTACTATCTGCTCTCCCTGCTGGCGCTCGCTGACCTGGGTCTGTCAGTGTCCACGTTGCCCACCACTGTGGGCATTTTTTGGTTCAGTTACCGTAGCATTTATTTTGGAGCCTGCCAAATCCAGATGTTCTGCATTCACTCTTTTTCCTTCATGGAGTCTGCAGTGCTCCTCGTCATGTCTTTTGATCGTTTTGTGGCCATCTGCCACCCGCTGAGGTACTCGGTCATCATCACTGGTGAGAGAGTGATGAGGGCAGGCCTGTGTGTCATCCTCAGGGGGCCTGTAGCCCTTGTCCCAATTGTTCTCCTCCTGAAGGCTTTTCCCTACTGTGGGCCTCTTGTCCTCTCCCACTCATTTTGTCTACACCAGGAAGTGATACACCTGGCATGTGCAGACACCACCTTCAACAACCTATATGGACTGTCACTGGTGGTGTTCACGGTGATGCTGGACCTGGTGCTCATTGCACTGTCCTACGGATTCATTTTGTACACGGTGGCGGGCCTGGCTTCCCAAGAGGAGCAGATCCGGGCCTTCCAAACGTGTACCTCACATCTCTGTGCTGTGCTGGTGTTCTTCGTGCCCATGATGGGGCTGTCCCTGGTACACCGGTTTGGGAAACATGCGCCACCTGCTGTGCACCTTCTCACGGCCAATATCTACCTCTTTGTACCACCCATGCTGAACCCAGTCATATACAGCATTAAGACCAAGGAAATCCGCAGAGCAATCATCAAGTTCCTTGGCTTTAGAGCGGTCAGTTCTGAGTCCTGGGGAGAGATGCACCCCTGAATGCCCTTACTCAAATAAGGCAAAGCATTTTCTCATTCAGAGCCTGTTAAAACACCCAACATCATGAGAGCTTCAATCTCCAAGTCATAAATTAAATATTAGTATGTTTCTTTCCTCTCAAATTGTGGCTCAAGAACACAGACCTTTTTCTTAAATTATGATACCTCCTACTCCTTCCCATCTTCTCTGCTTGGCCAAAGTCCTCTTCGTCTCTCTGTTCTGGTTAAGCCTTACTGTTGGACACCTAAGTCACATCAATTCATCAAAATACAACACACGTCCCCTAAAGTGGTCTAGGAAGAATTCCCCAATTCTTCCTCAACTTGTTCTCCTATTATATTTCATGTAATGGAAGCCCTTGAACCTCTTCCTGAGACTCTGCTCATCTCTGATTTTGTCTTGCTTGGTTTGTTTTTTGTTTTCTTAATCTCTTGAATCCTGCAACTCAGTGCAGTGTTGGTTGAAGCCACTATGTATCTCTGGGTCCTGTAGTTGTGAGATGGTGCACAATGATGTGCAGGGGAACATTTCCAGTCAAGGAAACTGCCACAAACATTTCAGGTCACAATTTCATTGCTCAGGGTATGTGACCTCAAAATCAGCAGGGCATCTGGTCCTACCACAACCTATCACAAACCATGTCCAGTATCTAATGTGACTTCCTAAAGGACAGGCCTGTTTTCTAAACACAGAGGAGGCAATGCTGTTTGCTTTCTCAGCACCCCGTGTTTACCATGTTAACATTTGTCATAGAATGGCCTAATGTTTGTACGTTTGTGTATTGTGTGTATGCGTACATTAGGATAGAAGACTAATTTAAATTTCTTGCAGGTATATGCATGCCTCTACCATTAATAAATCTATGTGCTGTAAATTCAGTGACTTATACATAATATGCCTTCAATAATAAGTGTCAATGATAGCAAAAGAGGCACAGTAACAAAACAGAAAAAAGAAAACAAGCTTGTTAATCTAGAAACAAAACATAGCACAAGGCTTCTCAAGAGCCACATTCTAGATCTTGATCTCTTAGTTTCGGGGTTCAATCTCGTGTGTGTGTGTGTGTGTGTGTGTGTGTGTGTGTGTGTGTGTGTGTATGGCCTGTTTTTGTTTATACATATGCACATGTGTGTACAGCTATGCAGATGTATATTTGCGTAATAATTCCAATTGTTTAGGCTCCATGAAGCCTGGGTTTCTGCAGCTTAGAGACAGATGCTTCTTACACTAATAAGTTTTATTCTGAACTTTAGTTGAAGACCACTGTTCACAGACCCAGCTCTGGCACCTAAACTGGTCTTTAGTAAACACTCTGAACACTTAGCAGTAACTACAAATGTTAGGTTTGTTTTTATGATAGTAAAGCCGTAAGCACATAACATATCCAAGCCAAACATGATACAAAAGATATGAGATGACGCATTTAATAAAATGTTGATTATTCCCATAAAGTTTAATGCTTAGGAATCTATTTAGCAAAAATTAATGTAGAAGCAAAGCATGAGGGTACATGTTGGGAATTCCAGCAGCTAGACTCATAGAAAAACTAGAAGGTACAGCTTTTCAGAGCATTTACATTAGAAAAAGCAGTGTTTTATATAATCTTGTTTATATATCCTATATTTCACATAATCAAAATTTTCCGAAGATTATGACTCAGTTGCGTTGCCTAAAATTACCTATTTTAGTAGGTGATTTGCAGAGTCTGGACGATCCTGTGTAACTGTGTTGGCAATGATGGCGATGACAGTGTGTATTGGCACTTGTTAAGCATCAACAGTGTGGTGAAAGCTCAGTGCTTTCTATTTTCGATGTCACCTGGGAATTAGGTAGACTTTATTTCTGGAGAGAAAAAAGTATATGTTAATTTCTTTATTCCATCTATTTATTTGTTTTTTGGATTTCTGAGACAGGATCTCATACACCCTAACTAATCTCAAACTTGCTGTGGAGCCCAGGATTACCTTGAACTCCTGAATCTCGTGTTTTCATTTCTCCAGTGCGGACTTGAATTCCAGTCATGTCCAGTTGTCTCAGAAAAATTTCTATGATTCCAGAATTGAGATCCAGGCTAACTTGCCTGCTTTTCTTAGACCATTCAAAATGAAATCTTTCATGTCAGGATTTGCTATGTCTTAGTGAAAGAAGACAGCTATTAGTTAACATTAGCCACTCAACCTTGATGCACCTTTGCCATGTGGTATTATTGATGTTTCAGTTTTGTATCCAAAAGTAAAAGAAAAAACAAATTGAAAAAAAAAAGAATTGGCAGGTTGTAATAGCCTGACTTTTGAGCAATATTAGATTCCCTAGAAAATTTAATGGATGATACAAATGTTTCCCGTATACTACCTTTTATTTGAAGAAAGACCTGTATCCCAGTCTGACCTGGAATCTATGATCTTCCTCTTTGGCTTACTGAGAGCTGGGGTTACAGGTATACACCACTATTTAGATACATACTAGGCTATTTAAACACACACTATGATCCTGGAATCGTTATAAAGCCTCAGTGTGCTATGTATCATTTAAACTAGACAGCACCCTTAAGAGGAAGGTGAAGTCAATCTATAGACAAATCAGCTGCAGCACAGAGGCAAAATAACTTTCCCAATGATACCGGAATACGGCATTGTTCTAAATGATGGCGTAATTTATGTCACACTACTTAAAAACACAAGGAAACAAAATTTATCTTAAGCACGTTTATTTTTGCCGAGGGCTGTCTGCTGTAAGGAGCTTGGACCATCCCTCGTCTTGTTTAATACCATTTGGATTCCTAAAGCTTTTGAAGCCAACACTGCTCTGACAAAGTCTAGGAACCAGTTCTGGATCAGTAGAAATGACACCAAATACATTTATATTTCTTTTTCTGCTCCAAACCTTGTCCTAAATTCTGCACATACAGGGTGTCAGTTACATCTCATCCCTCCTCTTTTAAAAGGAAACATCATTGAGTTGTTTTACTGATGAAAGTATGAAAGCAGGTACTGCATCAGACACTGAGACCGAGGACGGCGTGGCTGGCCATGAAAGCATCCTCCCGGGCGCCGTGCCTTTGAAGCTCTGGGAGCTAGGTCGAACAGAAGGCTTGGTTACTCTTGTTTCTTCTATGTTGGCTGGTTGAAATGTCTGCTTAAGAAACAGTGCTCTAATTGTTTCTAATAAAGTTATGTAAGAGTTCATCATGACTGCAGTAGAATTTCTGAGGAGGCAAAGCTTTGGGGAGATAAAGAGGCATAAGAAGAATATGATCAAACATATATTGTAGAAAAATTTTAATCAGAAAAGGCAAAAAGAAAGAAGAAAACTAGTGTGTATGTGCATTCTGAAATTGCACATTAAGATAAATTAGATACTATTTTCTAGTTGGCAGCAAGAAAGTCTTCATTCTCAAGGATTAAGAAAGTCTTCATTAAAATTCCTATTGCATTACCCCATACTCCCATTTATTTTTAAAGTCAACTTTGTTTATGTGATATTGTACTTTTTTTTAACGTGTTAATACTTAATGTAACAAATGTTATCCTAAAGGGGTCATGGGAACATTGTAAGTCCACTAAACATATTTACCTGCTACTCAGTTTTTTTTATGAATCAAATCTGATTTAAACTTCAAGGAGGCTTTAGTATATACTATTATAAACCAACAACCATCATTATAATGTACATAATTCTAGTATGGTATTTATAAAACTCTGTGTCTCCAGGATTTCAGTACAAATGAGTTGCACTGTGTAGTACTTAAAGGATTATAAAGTTTTGTATGGTTTGATTAAAAAAAAAAAAAAGAAAGTCTTCATTCTCACTTAGGTAGTCTGTTACTCTTAAGTAATTAGAAATCTCAGTAAATGGTGACTGTGTGGCTTTGAAGACCCAGGGTAGGAGACCTAACACCCATAACTCTCTGAGGAAGACACACACACACACACACACACACACACACACACACACACACACAAAAGAATCTTGAGCTTTAGCCCTGAAGGTTAGGTTCAATTAACTCTATGTATAAACGTGTGTGCTTGAGCGTGTGTGTGCACAGTATGTGTGCAGGAGCCTGCAGAGGTCAGAAGATGAATCTAACTTCCTGGAACCAGCCTTACAGACAGTTGTGAGCAGTCAACTGACTGACCGTTTCTCCAGCCCCAGAGTCACCTGGTCGTTAATTAAAGCCCTGCACGCCTGGGCCTCCCACCGTGCTCTGCTTCTGTGTGCCGCGTCACCTCTCTGTTAGACATAGCTCAGGGTTCCACACCTTGCCCCCGGCACATCCGTACAACACTGTCTCCTAACCATCCCTTCTTTGATGGTCCTTGTTATCTACAGATTCTCTGACAACCCATCATCTCCTCTGATGTCCAGGCCTCTGATACATTCACTGGTTATTTTTTAACATTGCTTCTGTTTGGGGCAGAAAATTGTCTACCAGATTTTATCTCTGACAAATAACTGTGTGGCTTCCAATAAGACACCATGGTCTCTCAGAGATCTTCATAATGACACTGGATTGGACTGTTGCCAGAAGCATGTATGTCTAGCATATACCTACTTTTCTGGCCATCAGAAAGTCTATAAAGAGGATAGTTTTACACGTAGTGAGGTAGTAACTCATGCCTGCTGAGCCACAGCTTATAACTGCCCAAGGTGTCCTTATGATCATTAAGAACAGAAATTTTCTGGTTAAGTCTCTCCAAGAAATGGCTGTGTAGGCGAGACCCGCATAATAGCAATACCAAAAGGCTTGTTCACACGGAAAGAAGAACTTTATGAGGGCCCATCCTTACACAAAGAGCCGCAGACGACAAATACTGCCGGGAGGAGAGAATTAACTCTTCCCAAGAGGAGCCTCCTTCTTGGTTGTCTAACACATCTGACTGGTCAGCTTTGAGACCATTTACACATGAACAGTGCAAATTGACCTAGCGTGTTGTATTGATATTTATTCTTGCACACACATACATGGATACATATGTATGTTACAACAATAATAGTAGAAA